CTGGACCCATTAGCTAGACTGTACAACAGAAACAGACAAGATACAAAAGATTTAGACTGCGACACAATCTCGGCCCATCCAACACGTGAAATACTACAGGTCGTGTCGGCGAACAAGGCAAATAAAGCTAGATATGGACGTATATGTGCGACCCACCGTAAATTGGGGCCTGTATTATGTTATTTTCTGTAAACAAATATAGATAATCAGATATTTTGAATCTATATCTATAATTTTGAGTATAATAGCTAAACTAGTTCTTATTTACTATACAGAAAATTACTACGATGTAAAATAGGTATATAGGAGAAAAAATCGATTTTGAATTCAGAGAGAGCGACCTCGGAATTCGTTCTACCAAGATTATGATATATTTCTTGATAAAAGTATCTTGTGTGCCTATCTCGCGGCACTGAAATATCGTCATTTAAAATCTTTAATCTATATTTTTTAAAAATTTCTTGCGTAATTTTGGAGTCTTGGATATATTTTTTTCAAAATTTCTTTTTCAGGATATGCCCCCGATATTCAAATTTTGCTAGTTGTGCGAAAAATTACGATATCAAAATTTCGATTTTATGATAATTCTAGAAAGACAAGATCCCGAATTCAAAATTTCCGAAACTTTCGGTAGGCATGCTCGCGGTCATAAAATTTACGAAATTTTTGGTTTATATGTGCCATAAATATTTCCGACTTTTTTAGTCGCGAGAGCATCTCCTAACAAGCTCGGAGTTTTATGATCACGAGCATGTCTATCCAAAATTTTGAATCTTTGTATTATCAGAGTTTTTTTTACCTCCTTAAAGCGACTAAAATTACGATTTTTTTCATATCGGGAGATTTCCTGGAATATCGTTGGTACTATAATTTCCGAAATTTTAGTATCGCGACATAGATACACAAGAGGCGAGCAACGCATCCTTATTTTATTATAGAATTATATCATATTAAATTTTCTACAAAATTAAATTAATGAAAATCTTGAAAATTCCATTAAAATATTTTATATATACTATATTATTTCAAACAATCTAATAAGTCCTGAAATCAATAAATCAGAAATTCTTCATATAATAAAGAAATAAGAAATAAGAGATATCAAAATTTAATTTAATATTTTCATATAAGTAATATCAATAATATAATATAAAGTTCAATATTTCGATATAAATTCATCGGATAAAGAAATAAGACTTCTTACTTTCATAGTATTCCTTCTCGTCAAATTCATATATCAGATATTCTATATCTCTTATATAATGCGGAATCTAAATTTGATTCAAATAGATATTCATTATCTCGCATCCATCATTCCGTATTCGTATTTATATGAGACGAACTCAACGTAGCGTAGCATCACTTCTGGATATTGTCCGACAAACGTCAAAAGCTTGCGACCCCTGCTCAGTCTTTCATTGAGAAAAGAAAGCACGGCCCTTGTACTTAGAACCGCCACACTACACTACAATCCCCACCAGAACACTTACAAACGCCTGTAGCACCGTAGCGGGCAAAGGGATCCACCCCTAGTTCAAGGCGTCAAGCTTAGCCGGCATGTCCCGCTCCAAGTTGGACTTCGGAGCAATGCCATATTTCTCCTGGCCACCAACCTTGGTCAAAGCTGCCATTACGATATCCAAGATGTCTTCCATAGAAAGATGCGCCGGAAAAGTAGAACCATATGAATTTCTTGACAAATATCTTCTTCATATGAGCGTATATAACGTTCTTAAAGAGATCATTATCTCGTAATATCAAATCATATAAAACAAAATATCTTCGATAAAATCAATCACGACTTATTTTTGATAATATAATAATTTTGCAATAAAAATAAATATATGAAAAATAATAAAATAGAAGGTTATAGAGATAAAGATAATATTATCGACAGGTGAATATATTTATTTCTAGAAATTCAGAAAAATCTTCTCGATAGAGAAGATAAAAATTCAGAAATTCATAATTTCAATAATATATATATTTATTCAAATCTTCCTTCTAATCGGGAATTCTCTTTATAATCTATATATCTAGGCCTAATCTATATCATTCCGCGCGATCCATATCCTCCCTCGCCAGCCCACCAGGCTCCCTAGGACTCTATTATCTTCAAGAATTCTCATTCCATGATATTCGCCAAACCTTCGCCCATCTTTCCAATCTACGCAGACTTTCTCCGAAATAAAAAAAAATTTTACATAACTACAAGAATGGTATACTTCACGACATATTCTAATTATATCGATCAGAGAATATGAGACATATATATTAATATTACTATTGAAAATTCGCATATTATCTTTCGGAACAAAGACATCTACTTGTGCCACTTCGGAAGGCGATATAAATGGGAATTTCGGCATCATCCACCAATTTATGGAATCGAATAATAAAATTTTAAAATATAATTCTTATTACAAAAAATAGAATCTCGACCTCTTTATCTATCTCTAATTTTCTCGAAATCTATTTCAGTTATCTTATCAATAATCGTAATTTTTTTAAAAATCAATTCATTCTTAGAAAATTATAAATTATATATATATATATCCACAAATATTTGAATTTCAATTTTCGAAATATAGCTCGTATCTATCTCTTCATAATTTTTTATCTCGATTACAATATCGTAATCAAAATCCCAAAAAATTCTATATAATCTCATAATTTTGCTCTCATATATATCTATCTAATCTTATTCAATTATTTTCATAATTCATATTATTCTTATTTTTATTATTGTCATACTACGACAATTATTACTATTGTTATTCGTTTAATTACTATCCAATAACTCGAACGAAAGGCAACTTATTACTTGAATATATAATTTAAAATATCATACTAAATTAATAGATATTATCACGAAAATTCATCTAACCAATCTAAATTCATTTATAAAGAACCGACTAGAGATCTTCTAAAAGAGGTCTACAACATTTCGATGACAAGAATAATAGATATCATATAACTAATAAAAAAGCGATCAAAATTCATGGGATACAAAATCAAAGCCGGTACGAAACTATATTTTTGCCGAGATTTCCGAAGTTTCGGGCAACACGAGAATTCGAAATCTCTAAAATTTTGAGGGCTTCGTTCTATACAACGCGTCTGGTACGAAACCCTCAAAATCCCAACAATTTCTGGATTTCGTGTTCAAGATTCGCCTTAAATTTAAAGGCAAACAGCCGCATGCTTGCCAGCAATCCCAAAACTCCAGGATTTTTGTGGCTTCGTACCGGCAGCCGTCCTGTGTAAATTCGAAACCGGAAAGCCTATAGCGTTTCATAGAGTGAATAATTCTACTTAAACTCTATATATATATATATATATATAGTACTTGAAATTGCTTAATCTTCCGAAGAAATCGATCATAATCTATACTTTCTTGACCAGGTTATATCTTGTATACAAAAAGTACTTGAAATCCCATCACTAAATGTAATCTTAAATCCCAGTCCTCTCAGATCCTCATTCAACGGCAAATCCTCGAACATGCCGTATAATGCCAAGAACACAAACCGACACAAAATGCGCGAAAGACTGTTCCAAAATCAGCCGATTCAAACAACCCATGAAGCCTTGTCCTAATCTTTCAGACCCAAATCTGTGTATGCGCGGTGCACCAACCAATGCCTCAAAACCCAAACCCATCAAAATCAGAACTCTCTTACAACCCCGCTTAACGCGCAAACACATTCAACAGAAAAACTTTTCTGCATTTCTCTACCACTCAACTCGAACACTATTCCAAAACCAAACCGCTCGCAAGCCCTGACCCCTGAACTGATAGCGCATGATGCTATCATTTTGGAACTTTCATGCCGACAGCCGGATAGCATTTGATTAGCTGGGCGCATTCGCACCATTATCCACCGTGAGCCGGAATAGCTGCTTCATGCCCCGATGTCGAATTTTCATGTCACGCTGAGCTACTCTCTGAGAAACTGTAGCCTGCCTGCCTAGTTCGCTCTTGAGCCTGGTAGAATAACAGACTGATTATACCTACTTCTTGCCTAAAAGTTCAAGTTCAAACATTGGAACTTCAAGCCTCCTCCTTCTTGGAAGGCATGGCTTCGACCTGCAACCGGAAGCCAAGTCTCTGTCGGTAAGGATTTGCTGACCTTGATGTGCTTCGAGAAATTCTCCCCTAACTCCAGGCATGTGCTCGATGCCCGGGCTTGTGGGACATGGACCGGGCCTCTGCCAGAAAGCCTGACGATCTCAGCTGATCGACGGCCTACAGAAGAACAGCAGGCAGCTGGCACCAGGCTTCCAACAACCCGGAAGCAGAAACGAAGCCGCTGGAGCCCATGATGCCGACTATGAGTTGACTGGGAGCAACACGCGTTCAGCAGCATCTTGCGTCAGGCTTGTTAGCAGAACGGCCTGCAGATCAAACCCGAAATTTGTGCAGAACTGCGGTAGCAGACCGCACCTTGCCCTTACTGCCCGTTAGCTGCACGTAGCACCTGACACTCTGCTTGTTCCGAAGAGCTAGGAAAGACATGGATTTGCAAACAGCCGCTCATGAACAGCAAATCGATGCGGCTTCATCTCTTTTCGTTAACCATGCCTTTCAGAAGGCGAAGCGATGGCACACTGCGTGCAGTCCCACCGTTTTAGCAGGAAACAGCTTGGCCTGTGTACATCTACATGCTGTGAGACTGTCTTGAGCTGTCTTGGACAAGCAGTTTTTGCGCCCAGCATTGTCATTCCATCAAACGAGATGGCGATCCGTTCTGCCATGACGTCTATATGATGTGCCTTGTCTAAGATAGTAGAAAACGACGTGTGGGACAGCTCCAACCATGTGCCCAAGGACTCGCACGACGCTCGTGCACGAATTCGACGAGACTGCAGCTCAGCTGGCAACCGACGACTCATCCCTGACAGCGCGGGTATTTCGTTTCAAGGTCTAAATGATTCATCTGGAAGAAAGAGCCATTGTACTTGCACGATCGCTGCCTCGGCTGGCTCTGCATGAGCCTTGGTCGAGTACATGGCAGGAACGATTATTGTTGTGGGCACGAAGGGTTCACTAAGTCTGAATGAAGCAGTACAGTTTTTGCTAAACGAAGCCCCATTCCGCATTTTCGGAAGGGGTCCAGGCCGCTTGGCTCGTGCCAATCTCTCCTGCTCAAACGACGAAAAATACAAGACATGAGCCTTTGTGCGAGGACACTACAGCATTGATGGAGCTTGGGGCCGCGGAAGGTTCACACTCCCTGCACATTATCAGAAACTTGTTCACGGCTTTTGATTTTGCCATGGCATCGATTGCAAATCCATTCTCTTACTACTTCAAGCGACAGGGTGATTAGAAGATCCACTAATCTGAACACATACCTCGCAAACTCTGTAGTAGGATTCTGCACGATGGGTTTGTCCCCCTTGCTATTCGTGCGGGGGTGAATTCCAGAGCGAGTTGGAAAGTTCATTCACTGCCGAACACCACGCAGAATTCACTGCGGAACTCAGGTTAAGGACATACACAGTTGGAATTCACCTTCCAAGTCACTCTGAAATGGAAAATGCATGGCTTCACCTTTCACAAAGTGTCCTATGTGCGCTTCTTGCAAGACTAGCAGGCAATTGCCAGCACATCTGGAAACCTGATCACAACAAGACGGGAACTGTCATACAGAACATGTGAAGCGACATGTGCTTATCGCGGTCAGGCTATCTCCCTAGTGTATGCTAGGTCCAAAGACCTGCGAAGTGGGCGTACCGGCCCGGCGGGTCCTTGTTCATCGATTGCTCCACCTGCAAAGCCGCTCAAGTCTCCCGAAGTCTGAAGCCTTGGCATGGACCTGGGGTTTAGGCATTTTCGCAAGCAGCGTGAAGCACGTCCCCGGTCCCCAACCCTCGAGCCAACCCTTACAGGCGCTTGATGTGTCTGGATGGGACTTTGCAAGTCACCAAAGGCAGCGGAGCCTGCGTCATGTGGTCCTTCGCCAGCTTGGTGGCAAACTGGGCAGTCCGAGTCTGTCTGACTTCATCGAGTCGTTCCCAACTACACATGCAGCTAGTGGAGTTCGCTTCGAGACGAGGGTGCGTATGTTCTGACTGCTGTGAGCATCTTGCTCTTGCTGATGTACCTGCAACACATCAGCTAGCAGGGCCTTCTGACTCATTTGCTGCTGGAGAAAGGCGGCATTTTCCTGCAGGCAAATATCAAACTCCGAGCTTGTGCTGTCCCAAAGAGAACGGTGTCTGTGAAACTGCTGAGTCAGTCCCTACTACTCCCGATGCCTACCCTTCAATCGATGTTCACCAGGTCAACGCGAGCTGTTCGGCATTGCCGCGTGACAAGCCTTCTCGCGCTGCTTTCTCTGCAACACCTGGAGCGGTAGACATCAAAGTGTTGAGACGCACAGACTCGAAGGAAATGCAGACATCAATTAAGCCTAGCGTGAGCATGTCGGTATTCACACTTCGAACGAGATACATCATCATGTAGTACTTGGCTGTGCTCTCCAGATACTACAAAATGGGTCTGGGGCACAGGGATGCACACAGAGCCGCTTTGACACACAGCCACATCTTGAATTCTCTCTTATCAATGCAGCAGGTGAAATTTTTTGTGAGCAGTATCGTCTGCCTGCTGCCTCTCCTCCTCCATAGCAGCTGCAGCATCTTGATCCGAACGCTCTCGGCCTCCGGGAATACTTTCCAATGGCTGGAATGTGATACTTTTGCTCAGCTAGCCCGTGTCCGAGAGATGCAATGGATAATGGATACCCCACTATCGGCATGCCACGTTCACCGACTAAGTCTGTGAGACACTGCTGGGAGATTGTATGCCGCATGTGTTCGTCTTATGAAGGCTGGCTATAAACGAAACACCTCGACGCACTCTGGGCGCAGAGCGTTTTCGCTGTTCCTCCTTCTCTGCCGCCTCAAAGGCGCGGCATGCAGCATTGAATCCCCTGTCTTTTGTCAAACGTGCCTTCTGGAAAGCTTGCTCCTCGAGCTGCTTCGAGAGGAACGCTGCCTCAGTCAAGAGGGGGGCAAGAGTTATGGATACACGGAAGAAGACGAAGCCGAGCTGCGCCCTCCATCTGCATCCTCTTCAGTTTGCTTTGCCTGGCACTCGCACCCCAAGCCCTGGAAGGTGGACCGTCAGTGCGCTTAAAAGCCACAAGAAACTCGGGTCTGCTTGCAACCACTTTTTTGTATTCGCTCCCTGACAGTGCTGGATCAGCCGCGCTGTAAGCTGGTTGTTGCGCGTGATTGACCTATCCTGCCCAGCAGCTGGGCATGTGGCTGCTTCCAGCGTCCATTCCGGTGACCGACGATCTGGATCTCAAGAGGGTGATGATGAGCGTGCTGTGTTCACAATCCAAACGAAAGTGGCTGACAGCGCCATGGTCAGTTATCCTCGAGTCTCAACATCTCAAACAGCTCTCGTCCGGAGGTGGTCGAACACAACTGGCTGTCCAGGTCCACAGCCACACCTCCAGGTCCATGCTGTCGCTCTCAAGCTCCTGCTGGTGTGGCATGCGACCCGCCACCTAGGCCGTCTGCCCCTAGGGAGACAACGATTGGACAGCGAGGTCGATATTCCCAACCTTGAAGATGACTGCCCGTACCTACAATCCCTGCTCTGCAATGCCGCCAGAATCATTAAGCGCTTTCATCTCTGATCTGCTCGAACCCCGCTATCCGAAGTCTACACACCAAGGAAATAGTCAGACTCCTCTGTGCCCACCCGCGGCAATAGCTCCGGTGCCAGGGGGCCTCCGGCTGCCAGCTCTCCCAACCTGGGCTATGTGAAAACATGCGAGGAGCTGGGCCTCATGCCTGCGTCAATTGCTCCCTTTGTGTTGGCCACGCAATGAGGCTCTTGCACGGCTCTGGCAGTGCAGTCTGGTTCCGATGCATGTAGATTTCCAGGTCATACTGCAATATACTGCAATCACATATAGAGGCGGGACCACACGCTGCCTCTCCCAGAGGGAAGGTCACAGGTGCATTCGAGCGTCAGCTTGTCACGGCTGACATCAAAGCTGTCCAAATTCTTCGCAGGCTTCCAAAGCTCCTTGCATCGCAGGTCTTGCAGCTGTATGTCGTTGTTCAAAGTCAAACGCATGTAATTGGCAAAGTCGTCAATTTCGTCCCGAAACGGAACTATCACATCAACTCCATTTTCTAGGCCTCAGGCCACCGCTACATCTTGGAAGTACTGATGAGGCGTGGCTGCCATGGAAGCCGGCTCAAGGAGACCTTGCTTCTAGATTCTTGTCAGCTTGGCTCGTCGGTGTTGCCACTATATGCAGTTCTGACCTTTAAGAGGTCGAAAGCCTTCAGCCAGGCTCCAGGCGGGCTCTCTTGACCGGCGGCTGCTCCATCCAAACCCTGAGAAGGTTCAAAGCAGAGGCAGCTTCCGCAACTTCCTTCCTGGGGCTCAAGGGATCGCGGAGGAGCACTCTGCACGCGCCGCTGGGTTGCACATGGCTGAGCTGGAAGTCCATGGCGAAGACCCCTTAAGCACTTGACTACCTAGTATCTAGAAAGGCTGCAAGCCGCACATGGCCTTGTTTGGACGCGAGAGCGACACTTCTTTCAGGATTGATTAGATGTTCAGTGCGCTCAGAATCGGATACAGTGAAATCGGCAGTCGGCGCCTGAAGCATTGCTTCAACAGGGGCAGCGCGAAGGTCTTACGCAACCAAGGGGGACGTGCGACAGCGTGGATTGGTCATTCCTGTGCAATGGTGGCAGCAACGCTTCTCTTTGAAGGCTTCCTGCCGTCACACCGGGACCAAGGCATGTCGGAATACAGATACCGTAACGCAAGTTAGCTCTGCTCACCGGCCTCATCTCTCGCATTCTTCTCTTCTTGGTATCTTCGAGCACGGTCCTCCTCCTGCATGGCAGAAACTGCTTTTGTTGTGACAACTTGAGCCTGCCTTTCCTTCATGTCAAGCGGACTTGGGTACAAAGCCACTTCGCAGCTATTTTAGCTCGACAAGCGATGTCATCGTCATGCCTCATGCTAAAGCCAGCTTCCACGGGTGACTAGCCGAACTGGTCCACATCGGAAGAGTCAGAGGTTCCTTCGCAGTCTGTGCTGGACTGCAGGTCAAGCTCCCAAGTGTACACCGATGGCTTGATACAGTTCACGATGCATCGGCCGATGAAAAAGAATGTGGCAAGCAAGCCCAGCAATCCGGTATAACCAATCAAGACAAACGAATACCGCCAATCAATGAAGAAGTAAAAGAAAAACTTGTAAGCTGCGAAGAAAAACCACGAGAAGATAACATACAATCCACCGTAATAGAACATGAAAACCAGGTGGTAGCTGGTAATGCAAAGCCCATTCAAGCACGTCTCCGTGAGCATGAAGATAAAATTCAAGTTGTGGGCAGCCAGAGCTGGTACGGAGAGTAGGCCTGAATCATTGCCGTATGTCTGATATGCCAAAGGCAGAAGCACTGACCAAACCAAAAGGCAGATCAGGCAGGACACCGGAAGCAGTACTTCGAAGAGGACCCAGGCTGAACAGCAGAAGACCTTTGCCACAGAACCATTGGCGGGGATGATACTCATGGCATCGGAGATCGAAGCAAAGGCTGCCAGTAGATTGTAGAATCCAATCAAGGTCCAGCTCCATACTGTGAACGTGGCAAAGGCCATCCATGAGCTTACCAGCGGGTTATCCTCAGCCTGCAATACCATCATTGCATCAGTAAGCACCACGATGAAAAAGCAGCATAATCTATAGATTGCCATACATCGCAAACTTAAGCCCCGAGAGCTTTCGGAGACATGCTTCCAGCTTATTGTGTGCCATCTCATCCTTCCTGGTGTCTGCAGGAGCTGTGAATACTAGCTAAAAACAACAGTCTCAGGCAGTGGATGGGGAAAATAAATTGCTACCGATTGCCAAGAAGCCCGTGCACTCGAAGTAAACATGAGTTGCAATCAGCAGCGTCAATGCAATTGATACGTAAGCAACTGCACTGTACTCCCAAGTTGCAGCATCGGGTGGCTCCGTCGTCATGGCTTCCTGCTGCTCCTACAAGCAATCCTTTTGTTGCAGTGGCCCATGGGACTGCTGGAACCCAACGAATTCTGGTAGTCTAAACAAAGCTATTTCACGTTAGCAGTCCGACTGCTCCGACTGGAATCTTGCGCAGCTGCCCTTGACATCAAAGCTGTCTGCGGAATCCCTGCCATCTGTGCTCACACTGCCACACAATGCAGAACAGGAAGCATGCATATCATTTCGGCTCGCGAGCTCTTGCAGGCTGAAGCGATCGGCGCTTGAAAACTTAATGCGAAAACTGGAATATCTGACATTGCAGTTGCTATCTTACTATCTTCATCAAATGGACAGTCCTTCGCTTCGGGGCACCGGCCGCAAAAAAGGCATCCTTGAGGATTAGAGGCCCAGTTGCTCGATGGCATCTTTGCCTGTGGCACCCTCTGCAGCGATGATCCCCATAATGGAGAACATCGCGAAGCGGCCGTTGTTGAGCTCGCGATTGCGCATGTCGTCTGTGTACTGGCCTATGCGAAGCGGGTCGCCGAAGTTCCCTGCTCCCTTCGAGATATCATCCTTGAACAGTGTGAACTCCAGGAGTCCAGCGATGGCGGTCAGAACGATCATGCCAAAGGCAGCAGGGTTGCTGAAGACTGCTGCGAAACCTGAGGGCATCGGTTCGCCCCAAGTTGTCTTGCTGAACCAGCCAAACCTCAAGTAATGCTGGCCAATCGCTCCTATACATGCCATCATGGCAACTCGGCCGTGCTTGATCTCACAGACACGGTACTCGTAGAATGTCTGTTCATCTTTGGGGGAAATCCCCAAGGGGTCCCAAAAACCCAAGGGTTCGGTCACGCCCAACTGCTCGCTGGGTTCGAACCGCTTCTTTCTGCCTTTTTCTCTTTTGGGGAGCTTCTTAGTCTTTGCAGTCTTCGCCAACAAAGCCACTCTGGAGGCTTGGCGTGAGCTGAGGCAAACTGCGCCGGTTAGGCATGCAACCGTGCTCAAACTCCAAGCTCCTGGGGTCTTTAAACTGCAGGACTGACTGGGTGCTCCGCCCCTCAGCGGCAGAGTTTGGATAGAAGTGCCTCTCAAAGGTGCGACCAGCGCCATGACGGCCGAGGCAACCCGACTTGAACCGACGTAACCTTTCACGACACCACTCAGTCGTGGCATGGTGTGCAAAGGAGCTCAAGCACTGCTTATGGCCGAATTTGTTCCTACTGCAGTTGCAGCCTCCTGCTGGAGCTTCGCCTGCTGACTTCCAGCTCCAGCCTGACGGAGTGTGACAAGTGACAATTGAAGTGGCGAATTCCTCGCAAACAAGCTGCCTCGTACTGTGCCAAGGCTTGGCCCTTGCAGTCGCGGCAAACACCAGGGTCTGATGCATCCGACATTGCTGCGCATGGCTGCGCCATGCTGGCTACCTGCTTGTCCTTGATCTTCTGTATCGCCTCCGCACCTGAGCTCGGTGTCAGCCACATGCCACGGCCCAAGCGGCGCTTCTCTCTCGTGTTGTAAAGGGCTGTCGAGGTCCTAACGTCGCCGCTCCTGGTCCTCCATGAGAGCCTAAATGAATCCGAGTCTGCATCTGCAAATGTCGACAGGATTGTGCATCCGCAGGTGCTGTGGTGCGGTATGGCTTTCACAGACATGCTGAACTCAGGGGCTGACACCGCATTATGTGCCCTCTGTACGGGCCTGCAGATCGGTGGCGGTGCTTCCGCACGTGGTCGGCGCTGCCCAACGGCATCCAGTCCCATCTTCTCATCCGCAAATTTCCGTAGCTCGGGCGCGGGCGAGCCACCGCACGCCGGCGCGTGTACTTCTAGAGCCCACTTTTCGACTGCTCCAGTTCCCGGTACGCCACCCACCCCCATGTCCCAGATTCCCCAGCCGCTTGTCACCCATCCAGGGCGTGTGCATTCCCCACCAGGGCTGTTCGGGGAAAAAGCTCAACAGACACCAAGACCGAGCCCAGCTGTCCGCTACACCGTGCCATCTCGCAGGAGCAGGCTTCATCAATTTTTCCCGTGTGACTTTTCCCGGTCCCGTGTGGGTACTATGCCATACGACTATTCCGAGGCGTCGTCATGTCATTGGCCTTCATGCTTGCCAGTCCAATCAGCATGAGTGCAGCATACATCCTCGATGATTAGCACTGTGACATACTGCGACGACATTTTGACATCTTTGGTGCCTTTCGCTGGCTCTTTCATGCCTCATGCCTGTTGACACATCCGATATTCTTAATCATAGTTTGTCGCCGCCCCCAGGATCCATTACTACTGATCAGCTCCCTGCGGCCTGCAGGGTGGCCAATTGAAACGAAAAGGCTTGGGTGCGATCAAGCGAGTCTCAACAGACGTGGCTATCTGTCTGGAAACATCTGGAAACACTGTCATGATCTCATGCTTCAATCCGCACGACCGGCGAGGATCGTTGCTCTCAGTGTCGAGCAATCTGCGCTTGCATCAATGCCATGTCCTGTGATCATTCGGGCAAAGACAGAGAAACGTTTCCTTGATCGTCGCAAAACAGATAGGAAGCCATACAGGCGGAAGCAGGCGTGGACATTGCATGATGATGATGTCGCAAAGGTCAGCAAACTGAAACTCTCACTTTCTGAAACGGGCGCTGCGGTGGCTCCGGAGCCTTCTTTGCTTCCTCCTGCTTCTGCAGTGCCTCCAGCAGGGGTTTTGTGCATGTCGGTGCCCGCAGGCCCCAAGGCCAGATTTCGGCTGCGCTTGGATTCTGCTTGGCCTTCTGCTCGACAGCTTGCTTTGCTGCTTCTGCCATCTGCTTGGCGACTTCCTCTCACGCTCTGCGAGCATGCATTACAAACTGTACTTCAGAGAACGGCTGTACGTGTCTGCGACAGAACTAGACCAAGTAGGGAGATGTGCACGTTCCACCTGTTGCTTGCGCTTCTTCCTCTCCTCGGCTTCTTCTTGCTGAAGCTTAGCTTCGGCTGCCTCATGGGAAGCTCGGAAACCACAGCGGAAGCTCGGCATTGGCCAGGGCAGCAGGTGCACCTGTTTCGCCATGTCCTCCTCGAGCTGAGCCGACAGGCGCGCCTCGGCCCGCTTCCGCTGGCGGCCAGCCTGAAGCCGGCGGCCCGCAGTGATCCGCAGTGCTCCCGTCGAATCCGTCCGGCGGGTGCCTCTGCATGCCTTTCCTGCTCTTGATTGAACTTCCGCTGAGCCTCAAGTGAGATCTCCAGAACTTGAAGGACTTCCGGCAAAGCTGTCACCTCTTGTTGCTGTGCTTTCTTGACTCGCTCCTCCTCTTGCCACCTCCAGCGCTGCGAGGCACAGGACTTTGCCACCACATAGTGACATGAGCAGGTAATGCACATGCGCCATGTTGCTCAGGCCAGCTCTGATCGGCATCTGCCTGCAAACATGTCGCATGTTTCTTTGCCGAAGCCTCCGACCGGAAGCCGTTTGGGGTTCTGAGCTCCCCTGCTGTGCCATGTGGAACAGTATACCCCCCTCTCATCCCCGTCTCCCAGTACTAACATCTACTAATCCGACTGAGACGTCTCCAAACTGCCCTCCAGCCGCATCAAGAATCGACATCGGTTTCGTGGGAGCCTTGGGAAGCAAGTGATTTTTTCGGGAGGGAACTCATTCTAGACATTCTTTGTCCAATTCCTTGCGACAGGACACGTGACCTGAATTTTGGGACTGGCAAGTCGTTCGCACAAATACGGCGAGTTAAGCGAGCATACTGAAAAATGAATCTGATGCCTCACGCCACTCATGAGCCCAAGCTGCTGGGAAGCCCTGATGAGAGGTCCTGAAAAGAAACCAAAAACATCGCTGCAATTGCTCTCAAGCCTTCATCCTGCCACCCCAGTTCATCATGGAGGACTTGTACTCACTGTCCTGCACCACTTCATGTTCCAGTCCCACACTTCTAGACCCTGACAACTGCCGGTACGAGGCTGCACCCGTGAAGCGTCCTTCTGACGTGCTTCTCGGACCTGCAGTCACCATCACGAGATGCCCCGAGTCTGGGAGGGGTTCTGCAGCCCTCGACAGCACTTGCTGCTACTGCATTTACAACTAGTAAACCTTCTTCGTCCCTCAGATCGGGAAACCGGCCTGCTCTTCTAGTATGCTTTTCTGCCTGTGATCACCGAAATCGAGACGGCCGGAGAGCTTGCGGATGCTAGCGGCACCCATTGAGTTACAGAACGAGCACCCGCCTGACTTTTCGCTCGATGGCCTGCTTCTGCTGCATGCTCTCCTTCGGGCTCGGCTCCGACAGCGACGATTCGAGTCTGCATGCACCCTGCTAGTCCACACTGAATCAAAAACCGTGTAGCAAAGCCTACCTGCAGCAAGCCGTCGATTGCATCAACCTCATGGACGAGCCTGCCAGAGTTGGAGCAAGGCTGCTCGGTGCACGATGGTTCTCGCATGGATTGCTGCAGGTCCATGTAACAGTAGATGGGGTAGAATAGCTTGTTCTTGCGGATGGTGCTCTTGCAACCCCTAGCGCACCACCAGCTATCAGCAAAGCAATACTCTTAAACTTGTCGTTAATGTATGTCGCTGCCTGCGAAAGCAGTTTTGAATGCCTCAAGACGGCGGTGTTTTCGGAACCTCGACTGAACAATAGACCGTGGGTCTGAGTGCGGCAGCTGGCGCAGCCATTCCACCTGTCTGCAATAGTGTCGCATTTTTCTTGGTTTTTCGTCCACACCTTTCCCAGCAAGCCTTCGACTGCCGCCGCTGATCTGCAGTAGCTCCAACCCCTCTTGAGCACCTACCTGATTTCTCCTGCACTTACTTCTGACGTAGCCGCTGCAAACAACCAAGTTGAGTTTTTTGTGCGAGATCTAATACGATCGCTGTAGCATCACCACTCCCTTGTTGGGGGCGGCGTGACCCCGCTGAATCCATTTCAGGATTTGGGTTGAAATAGTTTAGAAAGGGGGGGTGAAATTTGAGGCGACTGGTCTGGTTCGAGTGAAAAAGTAAGTACGTAGCGGCCTCATAGGACTACGCTGTGACATGTTGCCGGGAAACGCGGTCCCACAACCCGTTCCCCTGCTTGTTGCAGCCCACCGGTGATTCTATTGGCCTGGCAGCAGAGGACAAAATAATGACCATGCACACTATCTAAATGGTCCTAGTTTATAGCATTTCAGTATACTTCTTTTAGAAATCTGGTGAAGGCCTATAATGGAGGCCAAGAATCAGCATCAACTGGCATGGTAAGAATTTAACTGATTTCGAACAGAAACCTAGTACAAGATGTACAAGTGGAACAATCGAGGCCAACAAGCAGCATAAATGATCTGGCATGGTAGGAATTCAGTAGATGTCTAACAAAAACTTGTTGAGGCCTTGCAAAGGATGCCGAGAATCACCATCTGAAAGCCCTGCAAAAAGTTTTGTATCCGCTGTAACCTTGAAATGTCCTGGTTGCCGACATCACAGGCAGAACCCTGAAAAATCAACTGTTTCCTCACCTTCCCGGGTCTTAAGCTCGACGTCCCAAAACAAAAACGCGAAATATTTCAGAGCCTTACCCCCTCCCCTCATTTCAAAGCACAGGAGGGTGGTGATGCTGTAGCCCATTTAAAATTTGAGATGGTATCGCTGGGACTTTGGCCCAATAACATTGGATAGGAAGGTCTAATTCATGCCACAAGACGAACGCATTGACCTATTTTCACAGGAAGGCTGCACAACGAAATCGAACAGGACGATGTCTGCACATATCCATCTAGGGCAACATCTACATGTACATATACATATTACATACATACATATACATGTCCATGCCCACGTCATTCCATGTCCACGTCCATGTACATATAAAAGCACATATCACACGTTACACTCTACATATACCATATTGCATATGTCACATGGCACGTCTGAATTTGCAGATCTGGCATCTCACACCGCATATGTAATATTTCGAGAACGGTAAGTCATATGAGCCATATCGCATTTGCCAAATGCCACCTATTCTATCTTGTATATCATGTGTCATGTGTCACATATATATATATGGTCACACCCCCCCCATGATCCACACGAACCTGCTTTTCAACTACTGCTGCGTAGTCTTACGTCCCAAGATGCTTAGTCGTAGAGTCCAAATCTATCGTTATTTACGGTGTTTTCTGCAATTCATGTACATGTATACCTGACTCTCCTGACTCTTGTATTCCTTTACA